AGAAGTCTGCAAGTCTGCACTAGAGATCCACCGAGTGTCGTCAGGCGCACATTGCTTGAATGTGACTTTGAACTGCATTGGCTTGTTGCCATACTTGAGGTGCGTGATGACTCGGTCAACTTCCTGATGTCCGTCCATAGAAGGCGGATCCTGTGATCGACAGTCGGGAAACTCGTCAGCGGAAGGTGGCGTGTAGATGGCCAGCTTCGACGCGTGGAAGACCCGGTGCACTGTAACGTGCGGAGGAATGTTGACCACAAAGGAAGGACCTGCGGGGTCGTCTTCAACGGCAGAAGTGACTTCCCATGGTCCGAACCATTTTGGAAGGAGTTTGCGCGAAACATCCTGCTCGAGCGCAAATTCCTCGGAGAGGACCCAAACAAGGGCTCCCTCGCGGAATGGACATGGAAGTCGACGTCGGTTTTTTTGCGGCTGCATGCGGATTTGAGCCTTTTGCATATTCGTGCGGGCTTTGATCAGCAAGTCCCGGTACTTCCGAACGGAAGCGGGAGAGCAAGGGACGTCTATGTCGGCGATCTGTGGCAGAAGGAGATCAACGAAGATCCGTGCTTTCTCTCCACCATGGTGTAGCTCGAATGGTGTGACGCAGATCGCCGGGTGCACCGAAGTGTTATAGGCGAACTCGATGTCGGGAAGTCGGTCTACCCAATCTTTTTGGTCGGGACGGATGAGCGTACGCAACATCATCTGAGCGGTCTGGTGCGCTCGCTCCGTCTGGCCATCCGTCTGCGGGTGCCGAGCCGAGCTCGGCTTCATTGTCGTGCCAGACTCAGCCATAAGGGAAGTCCAAAAGGCCGACATGAAGTGAGTATCTCGGTCGTGTCTTCGGGAACACCCTGGTTGGTAATCCAAAAGGTGTGCAAGAGTCGTGCGAGCTCAGGCGCTGCAGCATGATACTTGCAAGGAAGGAAGCGAGCATACTTGCTCAAACGGTCAACGACCGTGAGAATACCGTCATGGCCGAGGCGATCGCGGGGGAACGGGCCTGTCACGTCCATAGTAATGGAGAGGCGCGGTGCCCGAGGAATCGGCAACGGTGTCAGTTCGCCGAAGGGGACTCGAGATCGACCCTTGTTACGGTGGCAAACTGCACATGACTTAATGTACCTGGTGACATCATAAAGGACGTCGGGCCAGTGAAAACAATGGCGGAGGCGTGCTAACGTACGGTTTACGCCAAGGTGTGCCGAAAGTCGTGCGTCATGGAATTCGCCGAGAAGACGAGTCCGTAAGATGCGATCTTGGGGCACAACTAACAAGTCCTTTCTTCTCGTGTGAAGGAGAAGGAACCCGTCGGAAATCCGATAGTGGCTAGCCGGCGGGTGATCCGATGAAAGCTCCGCGTAAAGCGGCGCGTAAAGCGGAGAGTAAGTCGGATTGGACTTGTAGCCTTTAACGAAATGCGGCCGCAGATCGTCATCGAGGTCGAATGTCGTAGTCACAATGGCACAAAAATCGGGCCGTCGTGAGAGGGCGTTTGCAGCCCGATTGGCGGGACCGGGAATGTGGCACGGGTCAAAGTCGAACTGGTCGATGTAATACATCCATCGACCGTATCCTGCGTTTTATAAAAGGTCAACGGATTGTTGTCCGTATTCCATTTAAAACGCCGACGACCGAGAAGAAAGTGGCGCCACCGTTTGAGAACGGTAACGAACGCGAGTAGCTCTTTCTTCCTAGCGTCGTCGAGAGTGTTGACGAGAGACACCTTTTGGGAGAAGTACTCGACCGGATGCCAACCGTCCTCGTGACACTGTTCCAACACCGCACCAATGTCGTATCCCGAAGCGTCCGTAGTCACTTGGGTGGGAAGGGTGGGGTCGTATATACGGAGGGCAGGTGCGGCTTGCATCGCTGCCTTCAACGTAGTGAACGCGTTACGGGCTGCGTCGTCGAACTCGAAGGGCACCTTCGAGGACTGATTTCTCGAGGCCACTCTCGAGTATGACTCGACGAATCTGTGATAATATCCAGCCAAACCCATGAAAGAGCGTACATCCGTCGTGCAACGGGGTTCCGGCCAATCCACGATGGCTTGGATCTTGTCCGCTAAGGGACGAATGCCTTTCGGCGTAACATAGTGACCCAAGTACTCAAGCTCCTGCTTGGCGAACTCGCACTTGTCGAGATTCGCTTTGTACTTGGCCAGTCGCAAACGATCCAAAACAATGCGAAGGTGTACGATGTGCTCGTCCAACGTCCTACTATAAACCAAGATGTCGTCGAGGTAGATGAGGACGCTGCGATCGAGCAAGTCGCGAAACTCAGTCGTCGTAGCTGCTTGGAAAGTCGTGGGGGCATTGGTGAGGCCAAATGGCATGACAACCCACTCAAAATGCCCGTACTGCGTCTTGAACGCGGTTTTGTACCGATCTTGAGGCTAGATTTCAATCTGGTGGTAACATGACTTCAAGTCCAACTTCGAGAAGTACGTGGCGCCGCCTAACCGCTCAAGGAGATCATCAATCCGAGGGAGAGGGCCGGCGTTCTTTACGGTTTATGCATTAAGTTTACGATAGTCGATGCATAACCGTAGATCTTTGTTCTTCTTCCGGACGAAGAGAACAAGGGCACCGTAAGGCGAACAACTAGGGCGAATCCAACCCTTGTCGAGAAGGTCATCGAGTTGTGCGCGAAGCACCTCGAGTTCCTCTTCGCTCATGCGGTAGATACATCCACGCGGAGGGACGGCGCCAGCCTCGAGAGTGATCCCGTGACTTATGGGCCAATCCAAAACCGTTCCGGTGGGAGCCTCGAAGACGTCTCTATACTCGTCCAAGAGGTGAGGAATGCGTAAGTCAGGCGGTGACGCAGCTGGTCCGTCCGGCGAGGGGAGAGCATGCAAGAATACAAGGCCCATCTCCTCGACGTCATTCCGAGCAATGGCGTCGCGAATTCTCGCAACGGAAACCACGTGACAAGCAATCGAAGTGTGAGGGGTCGCGACCGTACATGGGACTAACACTCCGTTCCGATCACGRRTGTGAACGGTYCGGTCRTGGAAGTTCACCGGATGATCGGCGCTACGCAACCAAGACATGCCTAGAATCATGTCRAACTTGGTGTCGAGGATGTCAAAAGACACCGGCTCGCACGCAAGTGGCGCAAAGTATACGGGAATGTCGTCGACGCATCGGTCAATTGACTTTTGCGTGCGGCCGTCCGCGAGTATAACTTGCGTAGGTTGCGTCTTTCTTCGAACGCGCGGGCCAAGACCTGCGCGGGCCATAAAGGCTTGGCTCATAAAGTTGCGAGACGCTCCGCAATCAATCAAGGCACTACAGGTTACCTTTCCGATTTGAATGCGGATATAGAGCAAAGGTGCGTCGGTTTCGGCGTACCTTTGGGTGGCGTACTCGCGGTCAATCTTCACAAGATAGGAGCGGAGATCGACAACCGCTACCCCGTAGTCCGTCAACGGAGCTGGTACTGTAGTGTGCAAATAGGAGCGTAGATTTGCCATTAAGGCGTTGCAATCCGGCCTTGGCAAGGTTCCGGTTGAGGGAAGAGGCATCCAAGCGAAGTCCTCTTTCGTGAGCGGGTCAAGCTCCTCAAGTCTTGACCACGCCGTCGAGTCCTCGGAAATCAGTGGCGAGCTGACCGGATCACTTGCCGACGGTGTACAGGCTGCGCATACGCAATCTAAGTGCACGTGGTTTGGCTGGTCTAGTGGTGGTACCAGCTGGGCGGCATAATCCTCGTACGTAGCACGAGAATCAACGACTAACGCATGCTCCTTGGTAGTGACATTGATTGCTAGCAAGGCAACCGGTTCCGGCGGAGTGAGGAGAGACGTCGCCTCTCTCCTTGCGCAACTCAGTTTCTCGAGTTCGCTGGACGGGGTACACGTGCCTTGCCCTTGTCGGGGCATTGTGCGGTTAAGTGAGTGACACCATTGCACCAAAGGCAATATCCGTACCGTTGACGAAGGTCATATACTTCCTTGGTTATCTTGTATGTCGTCCATGGTTGCTGCCCAGTTCCTGCCGATGTCGTCGCGTCTGTCGCCTTCTTCTTTCGAACTCTTTTGGGACGCTTCAGCGGGAGCGCTGCAAGAACTCCTCCATCACCCGAGGATGCTGCTGCAGTGTGGAGATCGACTGTTTCTTCAGAAATCACGGCATTGTTACGTGTCGGCCGTTGATAGCCCTGCTTAGCCACATAGTGCGGCTGGGACTGCTTCTCGTTAGTGGCCTTGTCGTCCGTTTGGATGACCAGGTTCGCACGATCCAGAATAGCCTAGAACGAGGCATAGTCGTACTCGTTGCCGAGTGCCGACCACAATCCTGCGCACAATCGCGAGAAAAACTCGGATCGTTGGTTTGGAAAGCTCAAATCGAAGCCTGGCGTGGTCACTATCTTCTGCCACTTGATTGTCCAGTCTCGAGTTGGCATGCTTCCTTGTGAGCTGGTATACACCTCGTTCATGGCCGCCTTCACGACGTTGCGGACCATGAACTGAGTGAACCATAGTTGCTCGAACTCCTTCCACGTAATGTGCGTGTGGAGTTCGGCGATGGTGCATTGCTTGGTTGCCGCCAGATGGTTCGTCCATGCCTGTGCTCCTCCAATCAGTTGTAGGTACAGTGCCTTCAACATGTCTTCAGCCAGGACAGTGCGGCAAGATGAGGAAACCTTGCCACCATGTCAAGGCGTCTATCTTGTTGTAGTCGTCGAACTTGCTGATGTTGAAGTGCGGCATCTTGTAATTCTTTGTAGCGGCCTCCGGTCTCGTCTGCAGCTTGGTGATGTCCGTCTTGATGGCGGCCACCGTGCTGCTGGTCGTGTCCGGACCAGTGAAAGCACCTAGGTCGCCGATGAGATTGACGACATGGTCGATGCGCCCGTTGAGCTGCTTCGTCGTGTCTGTCATGCAGCCTGGCGCTGCTTGGGAAGGCCTTGACTCCAGAGGAGCAATGCGGGTGTCCATCTGTTTCAGCTGAGAGTCCACGACTTTAACGGCTGCTGCCAGCGTCTTCACGTTATGGGTGAGATCGTTCTGTAGCTGCTGTGTAGATCGGGAATGAAGTTCCCCCATGGTGCTGTTCCAGATGACGGCACGCATTGTGTTGAGTAGAATGTCTGCCAGGTTTTGTCTCTCCTGTTGTACTGCCGTCGGCTCGGCGCCTGCTACGGGCACATAATGCATCCCGTTGAGTACTGCCGTCCATAGATCTTGTTGAGAGATCAGAAGCTCGGCACTGTAGGCGTTGAGCTGGTCGGTCGCCAACTGCGCCGCCTCAGCTTGTTGCTGGGCGCGGGCTGCAGCTTCTGCTGCTAGCCGTTGTTTGTCTGCTTCGGCAGCATCTTGGCGTTCCTTGGCAAGGGTTAGTGCGGCCGTGTAGGTCTGCACTCTCTGAATGTAGTCCGCGATGGGCTCATTCGGCCCTTGAGCAGGACAGACCGGCAATGGTTCAACATTGCCAGATGTCGACGTCTCGGATGACGTCCCGCTGTTCGGCGTGTTCGCCAACTGAGTGCTGGTCTGTGGCTGCTGTCGAACTGCAGGCTGCTGTTGCTGTCGGCGATCTACGATCCTCCTGCTCCGTCGTGGCTGCTGTTCGGTGGCTTGCCCTGCTGGCATCAGTGAACTCCTGCTGAGGGCCCCGTCCGAATGGTCGCAGAACAGTGAGAGGGAGAGGGTGGGTACAGGGGTAGAACAAATCAGGCAATTTGCATACAGCCCCACTCCCAATGATGGACTTTAAACACCTAATCAAACACAAAAGATAAACTTCCCCCAAAAAACAACTCAAAAATTCTTAATAAGAAAATAATAACGAATTAATAATCAATAAAGTTTCATTAATGATTAATAATGAATTAGTATTTCTTAATAATTATCAATAAAACAATAATTGTAATAATGATAATTCCCGAATTTGAATTGTAAAGATTAGGTATCCGTTGAGATCATCTATAGTCCGGGAGCTGTCTCTTATACACATCTAGATGTGTATAAGAGACAGAATTGTAATAATGATGATTCCCGAATTTGAATTGTAAAGATTAGGTGTCCGTTGAGATCATCTATAGTCCGGGAGTTCACCGTTGAATAGTGAACTACCCGGAAGTTGCGATTCTGGGGGAATAATTACGATCAGTTTTGCCAAAAAATTTTTTGGAAATTTAGGAAAAAACACTCGAATTTTTGAAAAACGTTAAATTTCGGGAATTTCAACCTACAAAATTCGATTTTTAAAGGCCTAAGTCCGTTTTCGGAATTTTCAAACATAGGGAAAGAAAAAAAATTCACAAAAATTTCGGAGTCCAACCCTAATTTTTCGCGTTTCTGCGGAATTTCCGGTTTTACGCTTCCAAAACGTTCAAATTTCCCAAATTGCTCAAAAATCGAAATTTTCCGTAACCCTAATTTCCAATACCGAAATAAAACGGAAATGCCGATTTATAAAACCAAATACAGGATTAAAATCAGAATGCCGGATTAAAAACGGAATACTGAATTGAAATCAGAATGCCGAATTAAACAGAGTACTGATTTAAACCTAATCGCGAATTAAAATCAGAAATCTGAATTAAACAGAATGTCGGATTACCCAGAATGCACTTAATCGGAATCCGAAGTAAACAGAATTCCGGATTTAAACAGAAATCCGAAGTGAAAGTCCGAATAACGAGTTGAAACAGAATGCCAATTTAAACCGAATACCGAAAAAAAAATAAAAAAATGGCAACTTTGAATCTCGATAGTAATACAGAGCTGATTTGGAAGATCAAAGAAGTAATCTATTCCTAAATCAGACTTACCTGGTGAGCAGATCCATCGTTTGGTCTGCTCCGATACCAAAACTGTTGCATACTCGTGAAGACTTCAACGAGTATGGGGCAGAACCAAAGATCAACCAATATAGGATGAGCATGCATGCAGCGGAAGTCTGATAATGGACTGACTCACATAAACTGACTCACACAGATATCACTCCACACACAAACAATCGTGAGATGTTGGGGTCTGAGCCAAGCACAGACGATGCTCAGGCCCCGTACAAACATACACAGATGAGAGGTGGGAGGAGAGAYGAAGGAGGTGGGAGATGTAGGTAGCACCAGATGTCACCGAGATAGAAACCAGTAGGTCACCGATATGGTAATCCAAAATGTCATCGAACAAGATCAAATATCGCGGACAATAAGTCACCAATGTCGGAGATACAGAGTCCTAATGTAACCGGTGTCCAATCTATGATGCAACCGAGTATCATCCCCAACAATCTCCAAGTCTCGAATCCGGTAAGTACCACAACCTCTTACCACTGAAGTCCAACACTGATCTCTATCCAACTAGTATCCAGTCTCCAATCTGAAGAAGGAGTCTGAAGAAGAAGAAGAAGAAGGAGGAGGAGAAGAGATGGGGAAGAAGAAGAAGAGAACAGCAGAGGAGAGAGGTGAGGAGGAGAGGAACCAGGACCATGGGGGGAGGAGACAACCTCACCCCCGAGTACCTGGTCTGCTGCAACTGCCTGGCGCCGAGGTCGGCTATGGCTGTCCGCTGGCTGGCTCCTCGCTCGCTGCTGCTGCCGCGCTAGCTGCGCTGTTGTGCTAAGAATAGCGTTGCGCTCCTGCTGTAGAACCGAAACGAACTGGCGCTCTCGCAGCGTCCAGTTGCTCGATGCCTCAAAGTGAGGCGGGGCCGGTCTTTAGTACCGGTGGAAGGAGGCCGGCCTCAATGCTGCGAGGCCTGGCCGTGACCTGAACCGTCGAGATCGTCGGTTCAGATCACACCGGCGGGCTGCAGCTTCAAGAGCGCCGCCAGGCCCAAACGGTAATGTCGTTTGGGCCTGCCCGTCGGGTCTGGTCCAAAGATGCGGCCTTTCGACCTGCTGTACCCCAAGTCTGGGCCTTTAGGCCCTACTGTGTCCCTCTGGCCCTAAGTCGGGTCCGGTAGGACCCATGTGGCGTCGAAGATGTAACAACTACTCTAGGCTGTCTGTTAGGTGTCAGTAGTGTGTCAACCAAGTAGTCAAAATAAAAATAAGCTAATGTGAGCAGATGTATGCACAATGGATATGATATTGATGTACGGTTGAGTCCTCAATTGGAATCCCCTTCCCCTGTATCCAACGTACCTGTGAGCATCATCGAGCTGCGGTGTCTAAGGTGTGCAATCACGGCCCACCCCTGTGCCCAAGGTGTATTGTTATGACCAGCCTGCCCTTTGTTTACCCTCGCGTGCAACGAGCCTTACGTCCGACTGATCTGGCTGATCAAGAGGCAATTTAAGGATAGCCCCTGAGAGTCCTCAGGAATTATTTTACGTCATAATCACGACGACGATCACAGCCAGTGGACAGATTGGACCCCAACCAGAAATGTTTATAGACAGTCTGGGAGCGTCTGTTCCAGAAATATTTTTAGACGGTGTGGGAGCATCTGCATTAGGACTGGTCAGTCCGCACACCCCTTTTATCAGCGCAGCAAAGAGCCTCAATGGACAAAGCAGCATAGCCTGCGTGTACTACTCCCATGGGTTGGCATGGTGACTGTGACCCGTGCTTCGACCAGGGCCCTTCAGAGGCACCACCCTCTCCTGCCAGATGCGACAT